ATCCAGCGGATCCCCTGCCCAGTCTGAGTCGGAGTATGTCGAGAGAGTAAGTTCGATTTTAGAAAGAACCAAGCTGTAATTGACAGTGCCTTGTAGATAACGCAGAATGCGTTTAAGTAGCTAAAAATGTAGTTGCAGAGGAGCGTGCATATGTTGACATATTTTGTTAACGGCAAAGGCAATGTCTGGTCGAGTCGATGTGAGATACTAGAGCGAACCTGCAAGTGTTCGAAAGAGTTCAGGCTGAGCGAACGGCAGCTGTAGAGCAGGATCAGTTGGATATTTGGAGGGAAGAGGTGTGAGAAGTGGTTTGCAGTTTGTCATGGAGGCCAGATTGAGAAGATCCAGAATATAAGAGCGTTGATACAAGTGGTAGCTGTCAGCATAGCAATGAAATTCAATGCCAAGAAATTTGGATAGGCGTCCAAGATTTCTGGTATGAAATTGCTTTTGTAAATTGGAGATCAGCATATGGATAAATGGAGAATCATTACCAGTGATGAGGATGTCATCAACATAGACAAGTAAATAAATGTGCTTGTTATCATGGTGGTAATGAAAGAAAGACGGGTCTGCCGAGCTGGGTGAAAATTGTTGTTGCCGAAGGTAGGCAGAGAGCGTCGCAAACCAGAGACGGGGAGCTTGCTTCAGCCCGTAAATGGCTTTGTGGAGCAGACAGATGTGATTAGGACGCGTTGTGTCTTCAAAGCCCTGTGGTTGAGACATGTAGATGGTTTGATCCAATTTACTGTGTAGAAAGGCGTTCATCACATCGAGTTGATGAACGAGCCAGTAGTAGTGTAAAGCAACTAGCAGGAACAAGCGTATGGTTGTAAATTTAACCACAGGACTGAATGTCTCAAGATAATCAATACCATATTGTTGTTTAAAATCCTGAGCGACGAGTCTCGCTTTGTGCCGAGCAACGGTGCCGTCGGGGAAGAATTTGAGCTTGTAAATCCATTTGCAACCAATGATTGTCTGATTGGGCGGCGGTGGCACTAACGACCAAGTACCCTGATCTTGTAGAGCTTGAAACTCAGTGGACATGGCTTGACGCCAGTGGTGATCTTTGTTGGAAGTGGTGAAGCAGGTAGGAGGTGTTTGTAAAGAGTGAGAAAGATCAAAAATGGTGCGGGGTTTAAGATGGCCAGTTTGGAATCTGGTAAGCATTGGATGTTTGGGTGGTGGTAGGACAGTGAAAGACTGAGATGAGGAAGAGGTGGTGGTTGGGGTAGTTAAATTAGGAACAGGGGAAGACGAAGTAGAGGTAGACATTGTGGGTGGAAAAGTGGGTTTAGTAGGAGTAGAAGTATCTGGTGGGGTTGTAGCTGTAGTTTGGTAGGGAGGAAAATATGGGAGAATGGGTGAGGAGGGTGGTGTGATCGAAGTGGCGTTAGTGAAGGAGGGAAACAAGTATTCATTAAAAACAACATGGCGGGAAGAGAAAATTTTGAAGATGATGGGATCAAAACATTTATAGCCCTTCTGATTTTCGTTATATCCTAGAAAAATGCAGGGGATAGAAAGCAGGGCTAATTTATGCGGTGCTAGGGGTTTGATCCAGGGATAGCACCGACATCCGAATGGACAAAGGAGTGAGTAATCAGGTGGAGTCTTATAGAGGAGATGATAGAGAGATTTGGATGACGTATTGGGTGAGGGTAGCCTGTTAATGAGGAAAGCAGCTGTGAGGATGGCGTCAGACTAGAAAGAGGATGGTAAACGGGCATCAAGGAGAAGAGCACGAGCAGTGTCGAGTAAGTGGCGATTCTTGTGCTCGGAGACGCCATTCTGTTGAGGGGTGTGAGGACAGGTGAATTGGTGTGTAATTCCCCTGTTGTTGGTAAATGTTTGTAAGGTTTTGGTGCGGAATTCACCGCCTCCATCACTACGGATTTGTTATTTTTATTGTAAGGGTTTGTAATTTCATCTGTCTCATATTATTTAAATTATTAGATAATTATTATTAAATATATAATTAAAATATTAGATTTTTTTTTCTATCTTAAAAAGTTTAAGTGTAATTGTATAATAATTTAGTTGTAACTATTTAATAATTTCTTTTAATTATTCAGAGAGATAACATTTGATGTGTGAAATTAAGAATGCATATAGTAAACGTAGGCTTCTTGTGACAATTTTCATCATGCTTTTTAAAGACTTTTTTTAGTACACAAATTTCTTGAAACTAAAAAATTTTTTATTAAAAAGTTATTTTTTAGAAAGAAATAAAAATGTTGATCAAAACTTGGTGTGTAAGTGAGCCAGCCGGCTCGAGCTCGACTCGTTTATAGGCTTGCGAGCCAAGTTTATCGAGCTCGCGAGTCGAGCTCTAGCTCAAGTTTGAGCTTGATGCGGCTCAGCTCGTGAGCTCGTGAGCTTGCGACGAGCTAATATTTTTAAGGTTTTTTTTTTAAATTAAGAAATTGTTATTTTATTGGGATATGTTTGCAAGAAAAGCTGCTGTAAGTTTGCAAGAAAAGTTAAACCACTACTATAAGTTTCCAAAAATATTTTTTATTGAGATATGTTTGCAAGAAAAGTTGCTATCAAATCTAAATGTATTAAATGCTTTATACAAGAGAAAATAAAAAATCGGTGTCTGGAGTGCCGTTGTGCTTGGACCGCTGGTCTCAAAAATGTGGACACCTTTTATCCAAGGGAAAAAGCAATGGACCGCTCTGGAGTCTGCAGTGTAGCATCACGCGTAGACTCGAAATGCTCAATGGACTGCTCGACATCTGCAGTGCGTTGGCCCACTGGCCGAGGGCAAAAAATTGCGAATGCCTGGCAGAAAAATTGAAATCGAGCGACTCGACGAGCGGCTCTACGAGCTCATTTATGTGTCGAGAGTGGAGCTCAAGCTCGACTCAAGGTCGAACTCGATGTTTGACTTGCGAGTACAGCTCGAACACCCCCTGACTTAAGCTCGAATCAACTCGTTTACGCCCCTAATCCAAACAAAGCCATAATCTCATCTTAGTACAAAATGTATCATGATATCTTGACAAGTGTAGACTTCATTCACTTGCAAGGTTAGTTTAGTTGGCACGCATCAGAGTTAGCATCATCCATCCACAGCCGAGTTAGATTTGACTTAAACCAATCCCATAATTTCCCTTTAATTACTTTAATGAGATATTAGTCAAACAAAGTAGGATTAATCAACCTACTACTATGTACTCAACATTTTAAGGTCATCCATTTCAGGTGATCTCATTACATTAAGATCCTTCCCAATAGCTCGACATGCTAGAGATGTCAACCTAATTCCTTTTTGTCAAGGCCTTGTTAATTGTTAAGCATCCTAGAGGTGTCACATTGTCCTTCATATATATTGGCAGCTTCGCATGCCATTTGAATTATAAATTAAGTACCATGAAATTACCTTATTGACAATTTTAAATCGCGAAATTATCGATTGAGTGACCTCTTCCTGTTAAAATAACTTCCTCAATTTTCTCGACAACTTAAACCACTAGAGCTATCACCTTGCCACACTAGAGTTGTAAGATCAACTAATTTTGGGAAGCCAAGCTCTCCCTTTCTCATAATCATTGCCCACAAAGTTGTTATCTTGGCATGCTTTCTCAATGACACCTAACCATTATTTTAATAACATAGAGGTGTTGGCATAGTGTCAATTCTCAATGTAGTTGCATTATCTGCCTTGCCTATAGCTAAAAAATAATATAGTTTTTAGCTTGAGTTCCCCCTCATGCCTTATTGAGTTCCCTCTCAACCAAGTGTCAAATTTCTTCTTGTCTAAACAACCAAGTGTCAACCCTTTGACATACTCAAACTCATGTGGAAGCTATAAACTCCTTTCCAACTTCTCTCTCTTATCATGAGTGTGCATACTAAGCCTTACTAAAATGCTTCATCTCCCATCAATGAATAGAAGGGGTCTATTTATAGCTTTTTAGGAGTGGTATGACCAGTAAATAGGAATGAGATTAATGGCATATTTGGAGTGCTTTGAATGGATGGCCAATATCGACTCCTATGATTATAGACTATATCATGTATTTGAGTTCCTTAATGATGTCAGAATTCTGTGATCTTAGACTCGTTGGATTCTTCTCGTCAAGCCACTCGATTCGACTATAAGCATGTTATGTTAGAAAATTGTTTGGTCATCCAATTTATGATTTGAACCTTCCATAGTGCTTCGGGACTTCCATATGGACCATTTGGGTTTGGTTTGGATTGAATTTGGTGTCGTTGGGTTCGTCTTTTTTAGACATTATGCTCGACTATAAGTTTGCAGAAATCAGAGTTCGGATGATCACGAATTTAATTTTAAAAGTTTTCAACTTAATTTTACCTCGAGATTCTTGTCCAATCAAGATATATTTTTTATGATATATCAACTCTAGATGAATATTCAACATATTCAAGAAGAGTTGTTTTATTAGGCAATAACTAATAGAGTCATTTAAGCAATTCAAATGCATCAGTACATATTAATAAGGTCTTAACAAGAATCTATATGATAGATTAGTCAAAATTTTCAACCAACAGATAAAATTGAGCTTCATGATGATATATCAATTCTAGAAAGCAAATACTATATTCATTAATCAAATATTTTCTCTTGATTAAAATTATCAGCTTCGGGTTCCTTAATCATACAGAAAAGTTATCATCTGGCTCCACCTCAACACTTCAACACATGCCTCCAAAATTCATGAGAGTGATACGATGGCTAAGTCTACAATCAATCCATTTTTATATCCAAAAAGCGTCTATATTCTTTAATATTGCTCCTCTAATATAGGAGAGAGATTATCGTGTCAACATTTATTTATTATTACAAATCTATACTCTCTAAAGTTTATTTTAAATATTTTTTTTTATGATGACGAAACTCATCTTCTTCACTTTGATTCTCATTCTCATATTCCAGTGGCTGATGCTTATTCTCTCATCTTATAGATAATATAAATATTATAAAAAACTCTCCAAACCTTCTCTTCCTCTTTATAAAAATCCACCTCCCCCACCTTCCTTATCTCAAGATCTCTTTCTCCATCTCTAATTAACTCTGATATGGGAAGTAAAATAGGTCACGTAGCTCCCGGATTTGGCTTCCTCATCATTGGATTATGGCACCTCTACAACAATATCAAGCTCTTCTCCTACCACCCCAACACCTTTCGTTCTCACTCTTGGTTCCCATTCCCGAAGTTCCGCCACCTCGAGCTCGTCCTCATCGCCATGGGTGGCTGCACTTCCATAGCCATGGAACTTTTCATCGGCCCCTCGCGCCACCAACCTCTCGACGTCGACTTCACCATCCCTACCAACCACCTGCACAACTTCGAGCACTCTTCAATCTCCCTTTCTTTCGTCATCTACGCCGTCTTGGCCAGAGCTTTAGATCGCGCCGCCCGCCCAGCCGCTGCGCAACCGCTCACTCTTATTGCAACCACCGCGGCCTTTGGCCAAGAATTTTTACTGTTTTACCTCCACTCCACTGATCATGCGGGGCTGGAGGGACAATATCATTGGCTTCTTCGGATCGTCATTGCCGTCTCCTTCGCCACGTCTTTGTTGGGCATTAGCCACCCCTGCAATTTTGCGATCGCGTTCGTTCGTTCCGCCAGCATTACCTTGCAGGTACAATTGTGAACAAAATTATTAAGGCTTCGTTTAGGGAACTTTTATGTGGTCAGGACACTTGACGTAGTTCTACATCCGGAGGTCAATAAAATATCGTCAATAAAATACCGCGCGGCCCGACGACCTGACCCGAACCAGAACCCGGTATTGCTATGTATTTGCTGATTTGTGCATATCAGGGTATTGCTCGGTATTGTTCGGTAACGAGAAATACCATTCTATCAAGACCAATACCTAGCAATACCGAGCAATACCCCGGTTTTGCTAGGTATTGCTCGGTATTGGTCTTGAAAAAGCGATATTTCTCGTTATTACAAAGCAATACCTAGCAATACACAAACATAGCAATACCGAGTTTCGGTCCGGGTCGGGTCGTCAGGCCGCGCGGTAAAGAGTAAGAGCACATGGCGACATTTTATTGGCATCCGGATGTAGAGCTAAGGCAGCTGTCCTGACCTAATTAAAGTTCTCGTTTAGGATGGCTTTATTCTAGCTTTTTAAAGCAGCCTTATTTGAAAGCTGTTTTAGAAAACAGCAGGAAAATCTATTCCAAATAAAATATAAGTGACGAAATATATTACTTTATATTTCATGTGATTTATGATTGCCAAAATAATTGTTAAAAAATAAAATTGGATGCCGCTTATTAAAAAAAAGAATTCATCAAGTTGTTTTATTGTAAGAAAATTAACGTGTTAATTTGATTTATAAATTTAATTTATTAGCTATATATATAAATAGTAAAATGAAAAAAATTTATAATCCTCTGATATATTGATTTTATGCTGCACTAATTTCACGAAAAACGAAATTTATGGTGCGCTTAAACATTCACAAGGAAAAAAATGAAAAAAAAAATAAAAAATTTCTGACAAAATTTAAATTTTAAAATTTAAGATCGCTACTTTTTCCGTGTCGGCCTAAAAACAAATCTTGCAGTGACTTTTAGTTTGTCACTAAATTTATAAAAGACGAAGGATTCTTTTTTTTTTGTTTGTTTTGGAGCAGGCTGCAGGGCCACTGCTGTAATTTAGCCCATTATAGTTTTTTAATATTTTTTTAATCAATATGAGTATTAAAATATTAAAATATTATATAAATATAAAAGAATTTAGCAGTCTCTGCAAAAAAATCAATAGCTTTTTCTTTAAGGACATTTGGATCAATTAAGGCTTCGTTTGGGACGATTTTTTCATTGCTTTCTAAAACGGAGTTTTAGTACAAAAATAAAAAAATTTGTACTAAAACTCTGTTTTAGAAAGCAACAAAAAAGCCGTCACAAACGAAGCCTAAGTCAAATTCATGCACACATCACATACGTAAGACTCAACCTCTTAAGCTTCGCTTGGAACGGCTTTTTTATTGCTTCTTGAAGCAATTTCTTATTTACAAAATTAAAAATTTTGTTCTAAAAAGCTGCTTCAAGAAACAATAAAAAAGTCATCCCAATCGAAATCTTAGTTAATAGCCAGAGCTCTATACCAACATACCAAGGTGAGATGCGTAAAAGAATAATAATAAATCAAATCATTAGCTTTAATATTCATATAATTATAAAATTTTTCTGACTAATCTATGGTGATAAAGCAATATTGCTGTTTCCTTTGAGTAGCTAATTATGTGGTGATTAAGCAGGGGATCTGGTTCATCTTCCTGGGCTACGCTCTTTGGACGCCAGCGTTCATCCCCAAGGGCTGCTACATGCATGACGAGGACGGCCATTTCGTCGTCCGCTGCCGGAGCGACGAGGCCCTCTACCGCGCCAAGTCTCTGGCCAACCTCGAATTCAGCTGGGTTTTCTCCGCCGCCGTCGTCTTCTCATTCCTCTTTTACCTCTATTTGAGCAAGAGGTATGAGAAGGAGCTGGAGTATGAATCCATTGACGTGGAGGAGCCCGAGGATTCCGAGCTTCGCAAGAAGATTAACAGTAAGCTTGGCGAATCTGATACCTTCGTCTTCATGGAAAAGGTGATGAGTGCTGTTTAGTAGATTACCGAAGAGACAAATTGTACTGTGAGTTGCTTGCAATTGTTCTTCTGGTTTTTTTTTTTAGGCAAGTGGATGAATGGATTTTATGGATCTTCAATTTTTAAATTGTTGATGGTTTGGTGTACGTTGATGTGATTCCATGTGAAGATAATGGAAATTGAAAAGGTGAAGATTTGCTTTCGATCTTGTCGGTCTGATGAACTTTTGGTTTTTAGTAATGATAATCTTTGCACAGTATCAGATCTATATTATTTTTATAGTAAATATTATTATTTTATGTATTCTACTATTGAGATTATTCTCATTTATTATTTTTTATAAAGGTAAGCTGGTACTATCATGATTAATAAATAATGATATAGTCATAATGCAAGAAATTGGATTATTAGAAAGAGAAAGAAGATCACTTCTTCGCACCATATTTTTTAAGGAAAAAGGTTTTGTGTAAAATCAAAAAGACGCAACAAAGGTAAACTGGTACTATCATATTTAATAAATAATGATATAGTCATAATGCAAGAAATTGGATTATTAGAAAGAGAAAGAAGATCACTTCTTCGCACCATATTTTCTAAGGAAAAAGGTTGTGTAAAATCAAAAAGAATGCGGGGAGCTCTGCTAGGGTTTTTGCTCTAGCTTCCTTTTCTCGCCACCTCCGTTCTTCCCGCCACCGTGTGGGGAGGGTTTTCCCCCTCCCCTACCTCCACCTGATGGATCCTTCCTCCTTCCTTGCGGATTTTCCCCCTCTCCCTGAGGCCGTCTCGTCACCTCATGCTCAAGCTCTCCATAACCCGGCTGGGTTAACTTTCTCCTTAAACCTCAACAAAGGTGACCCGGTGGCCGAAAGCTTCTCCCTCTCGTTTGTTCCTCCGGTGGGGAAAATCCCTTTCTCTGCGGCTGATCTTGCCTTAGGGCTTCCTGACTGGAACTCCTCTTTTGTCGGTTACTCTATTGGCCCGCGCCCGACTTATCTGAGTCTTCTCAACGCCGTGAAGCATGCTTGGGACCCCAAGGGAAACGTCGACCTGCTTTCCCTTGACGACGACTTCTTCTTATTTAAGTTTTCCTCGCCTGAAGATTATAAGGTGGCTTGGTCGGGCGGCCCCTGGTTCTTCTTTGGTCGGCCGTTCATCATGCAGAAGTGGACCCCGAAGTTCAAGCCAACTCGAGATGAGGTTTCTTCTATCCCCTTGTGGATTAAAATTGTGGATTTGCCTCTTGCGGTTTGGAATCCTTTAGGCATTTCAAAAATTGCTAGTTTTGTTGGGCACCCCCTTGCAGTTGACGCTTTAACTGCAAGGAAAACTCGTCTCACTTATGCCAGAGTCTGTGTTATGGTTTCGAACACTTCTGCCCTCCCTGATGAGATTCCAATTTCCCTAGATGGTGATGACGTTAATCTCAAAGTGTTGTATGACTGGAAGCCGACATCCTGTTCTGGTTATGGTTCTATTGTTCATCCTTCCTCCCTTTGCCACATTAATCCACAGCCCAAACCTCACCCTACCCGTGGAAGGAGCTCTTCCCGGGCTCGCTCCACCAGACCTCCACCTCCTCACAGGCCTCCTCTACCCCCTCCCCCCTCCACCTCCACTTTGGTCCCCCCTAACACCACTGCCCCAGTTCCCACTATCCCCAATTCCACCATTCCTGTTCAGCAAGCCATCATCTCCCCTCCTATCCTTCCCATCCCTTCCTCGGCTTTGCCAGCACCCCTTGTTGCACCCCTTATTCCACCTACCCTGGTTCCTATTCCTAATTTGAATTCCCCGAGTGAAGAAGTTTCATCTTCTGACAATTTTCCTATGGTCACTGAAATAGCAACTCCTCCTGGGGACAATCCCCCCTATTCACCAAACATTGGCCCTGTTGCCCTGCCAAAAAATCCGCCCATTTCCTCCCCTAACAGGTTTGCTCTTTTACAACCAGAGGATCCCCATGAGGATGAGCCCCCCAATTCTATAGTCCAACCAGCACAACTGGATATTATCCCACCCAAACAACCACCTGCGTCTAAACAGCCCCAATTGCCTAAGGATTCTAAGGGAAAGAGCGCAAAGAAGACCCGCTCTTCCAACTCAAACCAAAAATGACCCATTGCCCTATTGGGTGCTGGAACGTCAGGGGGTTTAATTCCCCTGATAGAGTTCTGGCTTGTCGGAAAATGGTATCGTCGTACCACCTGGAAATGCTGTGTATCCTGGAGGCTAAGATCCCCCCTACTTCTGCTTATGACCCCTGATTTATTAATACACACAAGATCTTTGCGAATGAATCTAGTGTTAACAACTTCAACTGTTCTGCCCCGGGATGTATCTGGATCAAATGGAACACTCAAAGTATCTCTTTATGTCCTTCTATTACCACCTCTCAAATGATTCATGGTACTGTCCATTCTACCAATATGCCTTCTCTCACGCTTTCTGTGATTTACGCTGCTAACTCGGCTTCTGAAAGAGCTTCCCTTTGGCATCAATTGGCTAGTATCGCCCCCACTATTTCTTCCCCTTGGGCCATCCTTGGGGACTTTAACTGTTGTAGATTTGTTGAGGAGAAATCGGGGGGGAGGCCACTTCTTCACAGTCAAATGCAGGAAATGAACTCATGGATTTTTTGGTCGGCTGTTCTTGACCTCCCCTCTTCTAGCTTATTCTTCACCTGGCACAACCAAAGGATTGATGATCCTATACATATCAAATTAGATAGAGTTCTTGCTAACTCTCAGTGGTTGGATTGTTTCCCTAACTCTTATTACAAAGTGGATTCTCCTGCGTGCTCTGACCACTCCCCACTGGTTCTTCTCCCTGGCAACTGCTCCAGTGTGTATACCAAATTTCAATTTAAAAATTATTTGCTTAAACTGGATGGTTTTTGGGATGGGCTCATTTCTGTCTTTGCTGCTCCAAATTATGGGAGCCTGATTTCTGCTCTTTATGCTAAGCTCCATCATTTCAAGGATTTTCTTAAAAAGAATAAATGGTCTAATGCTTCCTTTTTGGCTAGTAGAATTTTGGATCTTACTGCCTCTCAATAAAATTGTCTTGAACAGGTTCAACAGGCTCCCCTTGACCCAAATCTTAATGCTACCCTGCATTCTATCAACAAGGAATTAACCTCTCTTCATAAGGCCTAGGGTTCTTGGGTTATTCAACGAGCTAAAGCCAGCTGGCTGTCCAAGGGGGAGGATGATTTAGGCTTTCTTTATGCCCGTATTAAAGCTAAAAAATCATATTGCTGTATTAAGGAGCTTGTCACTGAGGAAGGGCAGTTCTCTACTCCTACGAGCATTGCGAATGCTGCTGTGGGTTTTTTTCAAAAACTTTACAATACCACATTACCTTCCCAGCCCTCTCCCTCCATGCTTGATCCTATCCCCATTGGGTCTACTATCCCCCCAAACCTGGTTAGCTCTCTCATTATCCCGGTCACTGATTTGGAGATTCATGATGTGGTATTTGCTGGTTCCTCTTCTAAAGCTCCTGGACTCGATGGTTTCACTTTTGAATTATATAAAGAAACTTGGGAAATTATTGGAATTCATGTTTGTAAAGCTGTGAAGCAATTTTTTTCTACTGGGTCTCTCCCGAGATGTGCCAAGGCCACAGATATTGTCCTGATTCCTAAGGGCTCTCATGCCTCTAACATTTTGGACTACCGGCCAATTTCCCTTTGCAACATTTTTTATAAAATTATCGCTAAGATAATTTCTAATATAATGAGGGAGGTTATGCCCTTTATTATTAACTTTAGCCAAGCTGGCTTCATTAAAGATAGAATGTCTACTGATAATGTGGTGTTTGCCTCTGAAATTCTCAGAGATTTTACTTGTAATGGGGGGGAGAAGTTGCTTTGTGCTAAATTGGATATTCGGAAAGCGTTTGACACGGTTTCCCGGACATTTCTGCTAAACAGGCTTTTAGAAAAAGGGTTTCCTCCTCAGTTCGTGGTCTGGATCAAGGGGTGCATTGAGGATGTATATTTTTTTGTTTCTATCAATGGGGGGTTGGAGGGTTTCTTCTCTTCCTCCTCTGGTCTTAGACAGGGCTGTCCCTTATCCCCCCTTCTCTTCTCTGTTGTGATGGATGCTTTCTCTTGTGGCCTTACTGCTAACAATTTTAAAGGCATATCTTCCAACAACCTCATGATCACTCATCTGCTTTATGCAGATGACATTTTAGTTTTTGGAGAGGCCTCCATTCAGAATGCTAACTCTTTGCAGATTGTTCTCTCTTCTTTTGCTATGCACTCTGGGTTGGTTGTGAACAATGCCAAATGTCATATTATGTTTTCTCACAACAACCCTTTGGCCAATGTTATCACTGCCCGTCTGGGCTTTATCCAAACGGAGAATACCCTTACTTATCTTGGCATTCTGATTTCCACCAAAAAACTTAAAACTTCTCACTTCCAACCACTTCTGAGTAGGCTTTCTACTCTACTTGCTGGTTGGAAAGTTAAATTCTTGTCTTTTGCAGGTAGAATTTAGTTCCTCAAATTCACAATTGTCAATACCATCGCGTACTGGATTAGGGGAGCTGTTATACCTAAAGGGATTTGCAAGCATATTGAGAAACTTTGCTCTAAATTTTTATTTCATGGGACTCATTCGGGGAAAAAGCTTCATCTGATAGCTTGGACTAAGACCTGCCTCCCTAAATGCTATGGTGGACTCGGTTTGCCTTCCTTAGATGCTTTGGCTTTTGCTTTTGGTTGCTCTTTCCTGTGGAGGTACTATAATTCACCTTCTTTGGTGGCTGCTTGGTTTAGGAATAAATTCTCCTCACCTTGGAATTCTTTTATGCCTAAAGCTTCTAAATTCTGGAAGGGTATTGATGATATTGCTATTAAAATCAAGGATAAGCTGAAGTTTCACGTGATTAACGAAAACTGTACACTTTCTATGCTGTGGGATACGTGGTGTCATGGAAATACTGTTCTTGCTACTGCTCTGTTCTCTTTGTTGAATGGGGTGGTCAGTGATTTCATTGTTGATGGCAGTGGGTCCCTTCCTTCCCAACTGGATCCATCTGTTTACACTTATATTACTTCCATCCCCATTTTGGTGCACCCTCACCCTTAGGTTTCTTGGAATGGGACGAACATGCCATCCTTTAAGGTTTTTCTCATGGAATTTTATTCTGATTTAAATACTGTCCCTTGGTTTAAGTTTGTCTGGCATTCCCACTATGCTTTAAAATATGCTCCCT